GGGGTGGAAGAGGGGACATTTTTATTTGCAGAGACAAAAGTCGTAAGTCAGTGTCAATGGAATGGGTGCAAAACTAACTGAAACGTTGTGGAGTTCCTACCACACCGACGAGGAAGACAAAACTGTTTGTCGTCGTGGGCTGTTAACAGTCACAAACTGAGGCCGGCTAAACTTTTTTACGATATACGGCAAAACTAATCGCCAAGTTCAGTAAGTTTAGTAAGAATTTTAAGGCGCTCTCAACTACATAGGGTCATATGAGCGCGTCGCCAAGTCTGATTGCCTTGTCTTCGTTGCTTCTTGTAACCAATACGACAAAACTGTGAATAAAGTTTGTTTTCGTTTTTTTGTATACGACAAAACTGTGAACAAACATTGTCTTCGTTACTCGTATACTACTAAACAGTGAACAAAGTTTGTCTTCGTTTTTTGTTTGTTTGTTTTTTTGTTACGGCAGAACTGTGAACAAACTTTTCTCGCATACAACAAAAACTGTATGCAAAGTTTAATTGCGTTGTGAACTCTACTCGTCGGTTTCTTATGTTGTTTTATTTGCAGCTGTTAAAAGGACACATGTCAACTCAAATTAGGTGATTTGATTCTAGAGTTGCTGAAGATAACTATTATTGTGGGTGGTTGACGGGTTTTTGGGTCTGGTTTGCTCCTACTTTTTAATCAAATATCTATCTTCTTTATCGCCCTCCCCCTTTTTTTGTGTGTGTTACTCTTATAGCACCTGTGATCTTCGGCACGTGTATGACCTAATTGTGTTGCAAGTACCGTAAAATTCCTGTAAAAAAACCTTAAAATCTTGTTCCGTGCAACAAGCACTGAAAGAGCATTGTCACAAAAACTGTAAAACTAATGCATGGTCAAAAATACAACGGGTGTGACTCTCCTATCTCCTGTCTCTTTTAACAGTTTAATTTGAGTACTGTGGAGTTTAAGTTAGGTTTTAAGTCAAGACAAAAATGAAGAAAGAACATTTTGTCAAAATGTTTTACACGTTCTAGAACAGTGGTTTTTAACCTGATTCTGATCAACCCCAATGGTTCGCTGCATCAGTTTTATGTGTTAGGTTGGGGTCAAGTTCGATGTACACATCAAGTGTGTGTGTGTGTGTGTGTGTGTGAGTGTGTGTGTGTGT